GGGCCAAGGCCCTCCCATGTTGAGTCACAACAACGAGGACCAGGGTGTGACAGCTTCACAAGGATCTCCAGGTGAGCCCAGGCCATCTTGCTGCCCGCTGCCTGGGCTTCGTGTGAGTCCTCAGGATCTCAGAGCCACTCAGCCTGCTTCCCCCTCTGGGCTTCCTCCCCCGCCTCAGCCCTCGGTCTCTGCTCCAGCTCCCCCTGATCCCACCCCATCTGCCTAGGCCTTTCCAGCTCCTCCCCTCCCCTTCCCTCTCCCCTCGCTGGAATGCAGATGTGGTGGTGTGCCACCCCCTAGGGCTAGAATGAACCAAAAATAAGCAAGAAAAATGGAAAGCCCTGAATGTGTCATGATAATGAGGGCACATTTAAAAGATGCCCTTTTAAATGGGAGGACACATAGGGTTTCCCCCACAGGGCAGCTTTGAATATAAATTACTTTCAGTCCCCAGCAAGGCATGCCTTTGTTCAAGATGGGTCAGTTTTCAGGGTGGCCCATGGCAAGGTCTGTGCAGCTAAAGGGTGAGCTGTCTTGGGGAGCCAAATGGACAGCCAGAGCATCTGGAGATATGCCTTGGGTAATGGACACACTGTGACAAGGCACTGACATGCCACATCCACCCCCTAGAACTGTGGATAATTCCGAACAAATTGACTACTCTGGGGAGAGGAACACAAGTTCATCTGAAGGGTGGTGATCAGGGCACAGCTGGCAAAAACAGCCACTTGACTTTATGGCTTAGCTGTTTCAGCTGGTTTAAGTTTTGTGTTGTTGTTTGTTTTTTTTCCCTTGGCAATAGACAATTAACCCCTTCCTAGAATGTTCTGGGAAATGAATATATTATAGACCCCATTGAGCATTCAGCTCAGATTCAGTCTGTTGGCTACATGCTTCCTAACAACAAATAAGAATCTCCAACAGGTAGTGGTATTTGTGTAAACAGTTTATGTAAAATTCATTGATTCATCCAACACCCTTTTATGGAGTTTTTCCCAGGTATAAGGTTTGGTTACTTTCTTTGAAGAACTTATTGTACTTGGCTTTATCATTATCAAGTGTGAAAAGGTAGGAAGACAATAAGCTGAAGACCTCAGACCTTGCCCTGGATCTGCAGAGATTCAAACTCTTGGCACTTCAGTTTCCTCTTCCAGAAAGAGGACATAGAATTATCTGCCTCCTAGGGATGTTGGGAGGACCATATGGAAAATATAGATGAAAGACCTTTAAAAAGCATAAGATGCTAAAGACTAGTAAAATATCATCAGTACTAGTTTCCCTTTCCTTGTATGCTCTCTTCTTCTATACATGAACTCAAAGTGTGCAAATTCACAGTTTGCTGTGAAATTACAGATTATCAGACCTAGAAGCGTGTCATCTTAGTCCAGCTCCCTGTTTATGTTTTCATCCCTGAACCAAGCTATGAATAGACCAAGAGAACTCCAGCTAAATGAGTCCCAGATTTAGCAGGCTTTGACAGTGCGTGTGTGTGTGCGCGCACACACACACGTGAACAAGTACTCCTGAATGCCAGGCATAATAACTCACTGGGGTCCCTCTAATTAATGACATTTTAAAACTTGATGGACTTGGCAAATATCCCTCCGATACATTCAATCAAGGATCCTGCCTACTGCATTCATTTCTCTATAATTTTTCCTGTAGATGCTCAATAACAAGCTGGTGTAGATGCCGCTCAGGATGTTAAGCTGGGCCTGAGGGCTCCTTCTGGGCCCAGTTTTTAGGTCCTTGTGTATTTACTGCATTGGGGGTTCCTATGACTTTACCCAGTTTCTTTCCCACGAGTGCTCTTGATGATAGTTGGCCACGGTTCCTAGTCCCACTCAAAGCTGTCTGCCTTAGAACACCAGCTGCCCCCTGGAACGTCCAACATGGGTCCTTTGACTTCAGGTCAGAATACCTAAAAGAAAGGATCCCTGCCTCAAAAGAAATGTATCAGTTCTAGAGACAAGGGAGAAGAATCATAAAATCATGAAAATTTGTTTGGGATCCTGACTCCAATTTCTCCACAGCTGCTGCTGCTTCTCGCTAGGGAAGAGTGTTTTGGAAAAATGAACTTGAGCGGGAACTTGAGAGGGGAATAGTGGCGCCTGACTATAATTAATCAGATCAGATCATTGCCACCAGCTCGTTCTCTGGAACACCAGCACCACTTCTGGTTAGCAACGTGGCCGACCAGACTGACCTCTTTGATGGATATCGAGAGAAAGTCATGCCCTGGATGAGGCAACTTCAACACAGTTGCAAATTCAACACTTCCAGCTTCTTCACTGTGCTCATTCTGATGGCGTGAGCCTCCAAGGTACAGAGACCAAGGAAGCAATCGTGTGTTGAAGTCCATAACAAGTGCACATTTGAATAAGTGCCCCTTTGGTTAGTTTCAGTTAAACTAACCAAAGGTGAGTTCAAGATAGGATGTTTTCTACCAGCTTTGGCAACCAAAGGATTATAAATGGAAATTATGTTTCTAAATAAATGACTTTTTACTGGCAAAGATAATAGCACTCTTTCCCCTTCACCTCCGAAAGTTATCTCCATTTTACAGACCATCTCCTAGATCAACTACCACCCCCAGACCACTCTCGCGATTCTCTCTGGGGAAGCACTGACCCATGCCGATTTCCTATGCCACCTTTCCACTGGGCCCCTCGGAGTTCACATTCTGTCATCACTGAGGCTTCTACAGCCTTGCCCTCTTCCCTGAACTTTCTCTTTAACCTCTCGCCCTAACTCTGGAACCTGGCTCTGCCCTAAAAACACCACCTCTCCTTCAGCCCCACCAAGTGAAGTCTGTTCTGTTCTCCCACAATTATCCTCCTTGCTTCCCTTGACCATGTCCAAGCTGTTTTTCATCCTTCTACCTGCAAAAACCCCAGCTCCTCTGAAGTTCAAACTTCCAAACTAGACCACCTCAACCCTCCTCTGGTCTGTCATCTAACAATTCCTCTTAATGATGGAAGTTTCTAGTACCTGGCTAACCCTTTCTCTTCATCCTGGAGACTTTCTAGTGCTCTTCTATCACTAGCTCTTTGAATGTCTACAGAAAAGAGAATACAGAGGTGAGTGCAGTAGTGTAACCCTTCTTGGCAATTTCAACACATATACAAATAACTCATCCAACTCTTGGCATCTCTATTCTGACTTCTTCACTTCCATTTATCTTTTCCTCCAAGGCCCCTCTCTCCCAGAGTCATTCTCCTGACCTTGTCACCACCTATAAAAGTACCACCTCAGAAACCTTTCTGGTCACGTACCTACTCACAGACATCCCATTTCAAGCCACCAACCCTGCTTCTGTATGGAGATTTTCAGTCCAGAAGCCACTGTGTTCTTACCCATTAACCCCTCTGGTCACTACCTTCCTCTTTTCCTGAATTACATTCTGTAATCCATCATTAGAGTCACTGACTGGCAACTTCCCTGTTCCCTTACCCCTCTTCCCTCCCCTGTGCTCACCTGATTAAACCCCAACTCAGGTGAAATCCACTCATCCCCCTACTCCAATGCCTTTACCTAAATAGCAGGCTCCTGCTGGTACAAAACATCCAACTGTGCCAACAGTTCTCACACTAAATTCCTGAAGACCACAGACTTAGTGGGCCCTCCCCAGACAGCCCCCTACACGGCCAAGGATGCCCCACCCTCTTGAATGCAACCATCACACCCCCTCCTCTTGCTTCATTCTGATATCTTGTCTGACATTTTACTGAGAAAATAGAAGCCATCAGTCACTCTCCATCTTCCTACCACCAAATCTCCCAATTCACCCGTCTGTCCCCAAACCCTTGCTTTCCCTCCCACTAAAGTGGATGAAGTATTTCTACTTCCAGTTAGAGCCAACATCTCCCTCTCACCTCCTCAAGGTTGTCACCACTGCACTTATTTCTCCTAACTCAGAGGATGACCTCAAAGCCACATGCTCATACCCAAGTGTCTCCCAGAAGAACCTCACTGCACCCTGTCTTGGGCAAGGCCAGGACTAGGGAGCCAGAGAGGCACCAAGGGCACCTGTGAGTGTGCCCCTAAACGTCAAGCCCTCAGTGCCTCTCCTGCCAGCCCTGGTCCTGTCTCTGTGTCCTTCTAAGACATTCTCTGGTCTTTTTTCATGTCTTTTCCCCAGACGATGACAAACTTTCGTGTCTTCTATAACATCCATCACAACTATAATTAAATAATTGTGTAATCATGTGTTTGATGTCCATCTCCCCTACTAGAATATAAGCTTCTCGAGGGCAGGGAGCAGATCTACCACGTTCACTACTATAACACCTCTCTGTTCCTCAGTTTCCCTATCTGTAGAGTGGAGATAATTATGCACCCAATAAATGTCATATTTTATAACTACCCTAGCATCTAGCAATTTCCCAGCACATAAAAAGTACTTCATCAAAAATTGTTGAATAAATAAAGGGAAGAATAATTCCAGGTCTGATGGATGGATGGAGATTCAACAGAGCTGAGAACTTTTCTGAATGTAGTAAAATATTGGAAGGTGATAGTCAAGTGACCTAAGGATACAAATCTTCCCCTTCTTGGTGGCTGGTGAAATGTACTCCACATCTTCCTCTCCCTCTCCCATATTTGTGGGTACCTTCATTGTGGTGCCTATTATCAACCGAGTTCCAACTTCCCAGCCCAAGGGGAGCCATGCTGTGAAATCTTTGGCAAAACAAAACCATTAGTGTAGCTTTCCACTGGCACAGTGGGAAAGACTTACCAAAGCTCTTTAGGGAAAATGAAAGGCCTGGAGACTGTTCTGCATGTTGCTACAACACAGTGGTTACTAAGAAACAACCCCACCCCCTCTCTACCCTTCAGACCTTCAGGCTCCTCCCAGGGCCAGCACCACTCGTTGTTTTTTTTTTAACAGATCCTGCCTCAGGTTTATTTGTACAAATAGCACAGGACACCAGCTCCATGGAGACAGCAGCCCAGGAGTCACACGGTCCTTCCATTCTCACATCAGCAGACAAACACCTCTACTGTGGAGCCTTTGTGGGCGCTTGGGCACCTTTGGGAGTCTGAGCCTGAGCCCGAGCCTGAGCTGGACCTGCAGACACAGCCTGGGGCTTGGTTTGAGCCTTGGCCTTGGCCTTTGGCCAGCAGACCCTGAGACCCTTGGCGCTGCGGTCACTAGCACGTTTCCCTAGCTTGGGGTGAGCACTGTAGGCAAGCTGACTGAGTTTGCAGCTGCCACACTTTGGGATCCTGGGCTTGACCTCCTTGGACTGTATGAGAGCCTTAACAACCTTGGCACGTGTGCTCATGGCCTTGGCGTGGTCGCCCTGCATCTTCTTCAGACCCTTCTTGTTGTGCTTCTTGGAAAAGCACATGTTTCTCAGGAACTTGGGGTCTGTACCCTTATGACATTAGTATCTTTGTGATCAGGGTTTCTTGCTACCATTTCTGTGCCGTTTTGGGGACTGGTTGTGCATGGTGTGCTTCTGGGACTTGGCCACATCCGCACTGAAGCCCACGGTTCCCAAAGAGTCTGGGACGAAGTAGCACCACTTTCTTGAATAGCCCCATGTGTCTCTCTACCTCCAGTCTCCTTCCTTTACTTGGAGAGGAAGAAAGATAAACCAAGTTCTCGTGGGTCAGTGAACACCAAGGAGGCCCCGCAGAAAACCTCCAAGGCTCCTGTTCCTCATGGCCGTTGCCTCTCAGAGCCAGTCTCTCCTTGCACCCCCCTCTCCATTTTCCTCCTCCGGTTCAGACCCATTTGCAAGCACAGCTGCCAGAAACTGCCAAGACACAGGCTTTGCTTTGGCCCCACAGGACTGTCATGGATTCCGGGGCATTTGGCAGGAGAGGAGTAAGAGCTACAACTTATTCATAGTACCAAGAACCAAGTGGCGCTTGGAGGCAACTCCTTGGTCTCTGGCTGTGCTTTTCACTTCAGTCTGGCCGCCTGGACTATGAGGCCTGAAGGAGGGGTATCGGCACTGATGTCAGATCCCAAGGCTGCATCTGCAAGAGCTGTTTTCTTGTGCTGCTTCCCCTAGCCCACTGTTTCTCTTTCAAGCTCCCTCCTCCTTTCCTGCACATGATCATTGCAACTCTCTTCAGGTAGCCCTTGGGGTCAAGCTGTCTAATATTTGGTTCTACCCAAAGGTGCTATGGCCTTCCCTGTTCCCCTCTCTTGAAGTATGGCCCTGACCCAGATGGCTGCTGATATGGGAGTGGGAAAAGCCCTGTGTATCCCGGCTTTCTAAAACTGTCCCATTGTCTCTCTTGTTCCACCCATCAGTCTTGGCTTCAAGGTGACCTTGCTGCAGACGATCAGCCTTGGCAGACGCCTCCTTTCCTCGGCTCTCTGAGGAAGAACCCATGGCTTTGTTATGAAAGGAAGTTCTTTTAGCCAAACATGTTCCAAATAGAAAGCTCTTTAAATATTTGTTTTAAAATAGGAATTAATAGAAAAACATAGACTCCTTCCAAATCAGCCTTTCTTTTTTATTATTATTCTGAAAGGTCCCTCCTGATCAAAAGGAGTAAGAACTTTTCATTGGGAGCAATTCCTAAATGACTTGATTTCCAGTCACAGAAGTATCTTTGTTGGTTTGTTTCTTTTGTCAGAAATTCAATGTTTACTTTAACTAGACCTTGACAACTCTTATTAATAGGGGTGTTTCTTGTCTTTCTGTCTTTTACAAGGGGTCCCTGCTGGTCTGCTGAACTTTTGGGCAGAAAAAATCGATTACTGCTCCAAGCACCCTGGCTGGGTTGCACACATCTGTGTTGAGTGTTTCATTCTGTGATGGAGTGAACTGCAACAATGAGCGGAGGCACAGTAGGATGTGTAGTGCCCCCTCTTAGCTGTGTGATCTCAGACCAGTTACTGCTCCTCTCTGAGCCACAGTGTCCTCCTCTTTACCACGAGGATAATACTGCCTTCCTTCTACATTACTGCTAAGAATCACATTGAGATCATTTATGTGAAACACGTCCCATGGTGTCTGACACATAGTAAATGATCGGTGAATGGGAGTTACAACTAAAGATTCAGGAAAGGTGGCCTGCATACAGGTTCCATCTGGGGGTGTGGAGGAAGTATGGGGGAGGGACTGTTTGCCACTTGGGGCAGCAGACTCCTTACTGCCTGATTGTCCATTAGGTCCATCCTGCTCAGCCCTCCTATCTCAAATATCTGAAGAGGTTCATTTACTAGGGACTTTATTAGGACAAACATAGCTCTGATGAGGGATGTCTGAACTCATAAGATAGAATGGAAACTGAACAGAATTTATTGTAGTAACTGAAAAGTGAGTGAACCAAAAATTGTAGTTAACTAAAAATGGGTAGTAGGGTGGCCCCCAGGGATGGTTTCCCTTCTTCTTCAGTAAAAGAAGCTGTCAAGTCACAGTTGAGCATATCTTCAGGGCCTCTCCTTGTTATGAAGATGTATGCCAGGGATGCCCCTGCCACAGGAAAAAACATCTTTTATTTGATTAAGGAAGCTGCTGCTCTTCTGTCATACAAAGGTCTAAGGAAGAGTCACACCATCAAGAATCCCAGGGTCCCCTGGGAGAAAAAGGACTGATTGTATCTCACCAACATCCACCATGGCCAACATTAGCACCAGCCATCACCACCACCAATACTCCCATTTCTACCACCATCATCACACCACCAACCAAAATCACCACCACCTCCACCTCCACCACCATCACCACCTTCACTTCTATCACATATCCTACCACCACTACCACCAAAGTATCACACCCTACCCCAGTCATCATAACCACCATCAGCACTACCACATCGCCAATCATCACCACCCCTGCCTCCACCACCACCATCACCAGCACTCCATCTCATAAAATTCAGGTCTTTAAGTTTGAAAGAGGGGATCTTGGCCTAAGCACCTTGGCCCCAAACCCTAAAATAAAGGAGCAAGTGAGAGAAACAGAAACAGAGACAGAAAGACAGGTAGAGAGAGAGAGCTGTAGACTTGACTTTGACCCTAAGAGGGGAGAGAGAAAGGAAAATGGTAGTTTTATCATTTTGAGACCATGAGTCTTAGGATCTACTTATACCCTGGTAATGAGAAGTGTATGTGTGTGGAAACCAACCACTGGTCTTTGGAAGCTCAGACCCTTTAAGGCTTGGGGAGCCCTTTTGACAGAGACAAGGGAGTGTTCCTTCTTTAAAGGACAGCTGGGTCCATCAATCTTAAGCCAATACGCTAATTAGGCAAACAGACTCCAAAAACAGTTCCAACTCCACCCTCTTGGGACAGTCTGTCACCAAAGGCAATGGCAGGATGAGATAATCCAGTAGGCAAATGGCCCCAGTGAGGGCGAGCTTTGCAGGTGGTTAGACAAAAAGCCTTGGCTCTCTGATATTCCCAGCAAATGGACGGGGCCCAAGGGTTTCTTTTTAAGGCCTAAGGAGACAAGTTAATCCTATCTCAAATAATAAAAAGAGAGAAAGAGAGAGTCAGAGAAAGAAAAATACAAATCAGAAACAATTTCTATACCATGTGACTCTGGTATAAATTTCGATTCTCTACTAAGTGAAAATCAAAGGACTCCTCCTTGGAGAGGGGGCAAGGATGTTTGTGTCCTGGTCCAGTCTTGGTTCTTCTATCAGCTGGTTCTATAATCCTCACCAGTTCCCCTTCATGTGACAGGCACTTTCTTGAATAAAAGCGCCCTGTGTATTTGGCCTTTTTCACTGAGATCGCACAGGATTGCCGCTCTCTCCAACTTCAATTGCTCATGGTTCCGACCTACAGGTGCAGAGTTTCATGAGTTGTAGCCGTAGCTTTGATTCCCCCTTTGCTATTGCATCATTAAGGGAGTTGGTCCTCCTTTCCCAAGTAGGCTGTGAAATGCCTGCTCCTTGGTTTACTGGGAACGGCCTTGGACTGCCCCAGCTGCTCCGCAGTCTGCCTCTCTGCAGTGGGTATTCCCTATCTGCTTTGCAGGAGTACGAGGAGATGTTAAAGCCTGCCCTGTTTATTGGGTGGCAAGAGATAGAAACAGCCTGAAAAAGCCTCTCCTGAGTCATCATCAGCTCTGGCAGAAGTTTAGTGATGCACTGATAGCCGCCCCTCCATCCCCACCAGCTACAGCTGTCAGAGGTTTTTATTTTCGTGTTTTGTTATTTAACTATTTCCTGTCCACTTCTATGCAAATTCCCCAAGGCAGTTCTTCAGCCCACACACAGCCCAGCTCAGGTGGGACCCAGGAATTCATCCTGGGACCCTGAATTTAACTCAAAACACCACTGGGGCAGCTGCCACTCTGAGCACAATTGGTGACACAAGGTCCCATAGACCTGTGACCCTAAGGCCTCCCGCTGCCTGCATCCAGCACGTTAGGCCCAAGCTTGAAGAGTTTTTAGTTTATGAAACATTCAGTCCCCAATATCAAATCCATCACTTCAAAGACCCTGTTTGAAACATAAAAAGTATATGCACTGAAAGGGAGTCCAATTAATGAACACTGTCGTTTTGGACTGATTATTGGGGTTTTTTGTTTGTTTTTAATAGTATCAGCTTTAGCCAGAATCTCTGTTGTGCTCATACAAACTTTATGTGCAATATGCATATGTGTGCTACAATTTCAAAATTTTTATTTTGCAACAAAAAAGCCCTGAGGATGTTTTGAAGAAAAACACGAACAAGCACGAGAGAAACGCCGCCGTGATAAGACCCCCGACAGGCCATGCGGTGAGACGGAAAGGAGCGAGGTCTGTGTCCCATTCAAGTTCCAGCTAAGTTGTATGAGGGTGTGCATTTACCGTGAAAGAGGAGCCAAAGATGCAACTTTACAGGATCTTGCCTTTGAAAATCAATCATTTCTGAGCACAAACAACAGCTTGTCCAGCCCTGGTGGTGTTGGCTTGAGACTGGGGGATGGCTACAATAAACATATGACCCGATTTGCCCAAGTCAGAACTCATTTATGCCTCTGATCCTGGCATAACTACCATAATTGTGTAACCATGTTGATACTGTGGTTGTAGTATAACACATCAATCAGTATACACCTTCAGAGTATAGCACAATGACTTTTTATATATGCACACACCCATGTCACTATCCTCCAGACCAAGACATACAATGTTCTGAGCACACCCCTCCACTCTTAACTCTCAAAACTGTCATGGTTTGGAAGATAAACTCTTCAGTGATCCCAGAAAAGTCTTTCCAGGGTTTCTCTGCAGCCCACCTGAAGGAGGGTGGATTTCATCGTCCATTAACATTATACCATCTTCTGGTCTTTGCATAAGATTTTATCCATGCTGGAGAGTCAAAGTAAATGTGTTGCAGCTGTTTGGAAACCAGGGAGGCTTAAATTACACCGGCTTGACTTGATGGGTTCTGAGGATGTGTGGATTCTGGAAGGTGGAAATGATTAGCACAAACACCTTCATGGAAATTACCGTTAATTCAAGCGACTGAACTTCCCTTTACCTCGTCTCCACCACTCAGACCTTCCCCTGCCAAACTTTCCTTTCATTAAAGAAATGAGTCATCCCCATTGGGAATCATATAGGAACCGTGGGAAAGAGTATGGGATCTGGAGTCAGCCAGGCTTGGCCTCGCAACGCAAATGTGCCATTAGCCAGCTCTGCGTTAAGTTCTCCAGGCCTCAGTTTCCTAATCAGTGAAAGCAATATGATTTACTTTGCAGAGCTGGGCTCAAAATTAGATTTAATGGATGTAAGGTACCTGGCGCATGGGCATCAAATATAATGCCTAATACTTAAGTCAGATTTCAGGACCAGAATAAAAGCAAGGTACCGCAGCATAGCTTTTCCAAAAATGGCCACAACAATATTTCCACTCTCATTCATTCTTCCAGAACTTAGCCACTACCCATCGAGAGGTAGAGTCTTGCCCGCCAACCACCACCTAGAACTTGGCAAGACTTTGTGACTGCCTCAATGGTACAGAAGCAAAGCTACATGACTTCTAAGGATATGACATATGACAGCACGGTTTCTGCTTAGCTCACTCTCTCTCTCTCTCAAGATGCAACCCCCTCCCCACCCCTAGGAACCCAGCCACCATGCTGAGAGAAAACCCAACTCACCCACACAGAGAGACTCTATGGAGAGGCCCATGTAAAGAGAAACTGAGACCCCCCGGCAATAGCCATTATCAACCACCAGACCTATGAGTGAACAAGCTTTTATTTATTAATATTTTTAAATATTACTTAATGTTGACAGTATTACAGATGTCTCCCGTTGTCTCCTTTTTTGCCCCCTTCCCCCCACCCCCACCCCACCCCAGGCCTTCCCATGCTATTGTCTGTGTCCATGGGTTATGCATATATGCATATATATTCTTTGGTTAATCTCTTCCTGTCCTCTTCCCCCCTAATATCCCCTCCTCAAGATCTGTTATTCTGTTCCATGCATCCACACCTCTGGACCTATTTTGGTGAACAAGCTTTTAGACAATCCTAACCCTCAGCCATTGAGTCTTCCTACTGAGGCCCCAGAAACTGAAATAAATGCAAGTTATACTAGCTGTGTCCCGTTCAAGTTCCTGGCTCATGAATCTGTGAGTATAATAAATGGTTATTTAAGCTTCTAAGTTTGGGGATAATTTGTTATACAGCCATGGTAACTGGAACTTGGTGTAACCAGGGTTTTGTGGATGCGGCCGATAGTTCTCACATACATCTGCATCAGGCAGAGTGAATGTGAGCACGGCTCTCTGCTTTGGTCCAGCTAAACCTCAAAGGTGAAGAGTCTGTTATATGCATTTGTCCTGCTGCTTGTGATTGGAGCCTGGCATCCATGTCCACGCTCCGAGAATGAACTGGTTCTCTTACTCAAACCCAAAGTGGTCTGCTATATCCAGACTTCCAGAGCCCTGTCTGTTCTTTAACACTAAGCATTTACTAGCCTGTGGGAAATAAAACTATAAAATAATGCAACTATATTATAACCAATACGCCTGGAGTTATATATGCAAATTGGCTGCTATCCTCTTCAAACAGCACTTGTAAAAGCTCTCATCCTATTTCTTTATTTTCTGTGTCACAAAGACGGAAGCTTTACCCAGTACCATGAATGCATGTGGGGAAGGAGAGAGTTTGGGTATACTGGCAAGGCCTCTGTGACAGTCAAAGGCCATCGGGAAAATCAGGGCGGACAGTGGGGCAGCAGAGAGACCAGCTTTCCAGACCAGCCCAAACCAAGAAAAATGGGTTCAATGGGCAGACTACACACAAAGAACTCAACCATGGCCTGAGCCTGTCACACAGCCATGCCAAGGAAGTTAGTGTAACATAATGGCAAGAGCATGGGCTTTGGATCAAACAAACCTGGGTTTAGACCTTGTTTCTTCATGTACTGACAGTGTGACCTTGGGTAAGTTCCTTCGTGCCTCAATTTTGTTACCCATAAATATGGCACCTAACTGTGGCAGAGGAAGCTAGCTGTCTACCAAAGATGTGTATTACTCTTTTTTTTTTTTTTTTTTTTTTTTTTTTTTTTCCACATCTTTATTGTTGGATGTAAAATGTATTACAGATGTTCCACAGTTTTCCCCCATTGACCCCCTCCTCCCCACTCCCGCCCCCCTCCCACCTTTTCCCATACTATTGTCCGTGTCCATTGGTTATGCATATAAGTTCTTTGGTTTATTTCTTCCCACCCCCCTAACCCCTTTCTCTTTGAGGTTTGTCAGTCTAGCAATGAATTTGTGCTTCTTAATCCCTTCACCTTTTTCATCCATTCCCCCAACCCCTTTCCCAACTGGCAACCAACAAAATATTCTCTGTATCTATGAGAATGTTCCTGTTCTTCCTGTTCATTTTGTTTGTAGATTCCA